AACCGAATTATCTAGGTACTGATTCTTTCTTGTGAACGTTGAATCAGTTTATGGCTCACAGAAATTGTCTACAGCGATTAAATACTGACAGTGGAAGCAACACAGAGGGCATGGAAAGTGATATAGAGTATGGCGAGTGCTACAAGAAAAAGTCATGATGAAAATTGACTTGGGGGTTTAGCATATATTTGGTAGCGTTATTTTGATCCCTCGAGTAGATTTAATCCTGCGAAAGCCTATTAGTTAGGAAAATCGTCCTTTTAGTTAAGTTTATTAAGGGTAATGAGCATTAATTTGTCCGAAATTGGTCAAATGCAAGTGAGGCCAAGTTTAAGGAATCGCATTTATTTTCAGAAACAAGGAACCACTTAAGTTTTAAGAATAATGTTTAGCTAACCTGTTCTAACGCATCGTGTAGATGGCACATAAGCAAACGTGTCCATATATGGTATCGTGAAGACAATGTGGAACAGGCCTTAAGTCATGCAGAAATATACTTTTTTGTACACTATGCTTTCCGCGTATGCGTAATTTAGAAACAGAACAGATAGAAGATTAACGCTTATGTAAATATCTTGTTATGTATATCGCCACAATTTTTTGCATTCGCAAGCTTAGAACAGAGCCTGGAAGTAATCCACATGACAGAAAATAATCCAATATAAGGAAAAAACTGAGTTCTTTCATTCTTAGTCAAGGTGAATCTTTTATCTTCAGGTAACTTAAAAAAACTTTCTCAAAAATCTCCATTTTCACTTTGACATTACCTTGGACAAAGGTAGTATACACAGAAATCCGTTTGCTGAATATCTAATTAAAGTGCTTTTTAAAGAGGTAGCCTAGTATAGAAACTTATTTTATTAATCTAAGGATTAAAAATACCAGACTTCTGTTGCGGACGTTCTTTTTGTTCGACAATGTGTTTTGCTGTTTTGACACATTTCTAAATATGGCCCACACGGTCATCGTCATAAGAACTCATATATATATAAAAGAATTTTTCTGTTAATACCCTTAATATATATATGTTATTTTAGATGTTTTATGTGAACATCGCACACAATCTGTATTAATGAATAGAAGCTTGTAAGCACTGAAAAAGCTCGAAAATATGCTTGAATATTTTAACTGAGTGAAAGTTCTTTTTATACAAAGAAAGGGGTAAGATAATGCATCCAAGTCTATTGTTCTGATTTATAGTAATTTTTTACGTCTCTGAAATCTGGGGATTATCCAGCAAGGAAGAATCAGGCCGCAGTTTCCACACTCGGTGATGATCCTGGAGACCTTTGCAATGCCCCCTCCTGTTGAATTCCCCCAAGATTGGACGTTTTTTTGCTCTTTTTTTCCTAAACTCCACTCCCCAACAAGAGCAACAGTTTTTTCTCCTAAAAATATTTAGTTTTTTACTGTTTGCTCCTATTTGTTGCACCCCATGACTCAGGACAACTGGCCTCGCCAAAAATCTGAGAAACAATTTTTCTGCTACCACGATACACATGTACAAATAGGGAACTCAAAGGTAATTTACCTACATATCCCTCAATAAACTGATGCTGAAGCAAATTTAATTTTTCGCCAAAAACACTTAATACTTCTTATACTTTTTTGAAATACCATAGTTGCCTAATTTTGTTCATTATTATTTGTAGGTTTTCGTATATGCGTTCATGCCGGTATGCATGAAATGATCAAACTTTTACAATTTTAGGCATTTTGCATGCATTTCTCGCCATACTGTATATAAATTGCTTCATACGCGCAGCCTGTATGAGTTGGTGAGATAACTTTATTTACTTGAGCTCAATTAGGCTTTCAAACTTACCCGAGCAATTCACATAGGGGCATGTGGGAAAGGATTATTTGACAATAAAACAAATTGTCCATGTGGTTCTAGAGAAACAACGTTTAACCGATAACAATATACGTGATAAAATAGCAGAATCTGATCGAATTCTGAATGACAGGTCGGTACGAAGACAGGATGATGGCCGGGATTTTCACTATGCACTTACAACGAGTAAGCTGTCTCTACTAAGAAAGCATTCACCCGAGTGAATACCACGTACGATAAAGACAATTCCATTCAATGGTTAAAAGTGGACCAAGAGTCCCTCGCACTTTTAATTAGTGCATATCTGTGCAGTCGAGTACCAGGACCGGCCAATCAGTTTTTTACTGAAAGCTGAAGAAGTTCTAGGTCTCCCACCGAATACAATAATTGAGAGAGTCTACATGAGACCGGACGGTTAAATTCGAATAGCTATTCCTCGCTAGGTGAACATTCATGTGCGGAAGGCCGTTCGGTAGTTCTTTTTTCACTGAAAGGGGTTGTTCAAATAGAATCCGTATGATACTTTCGAGCCGTCGAGATTCACGGGGGCGATGGAATTCAATAGGTCAATATTGTTCTATCGATTTATTTGCTACTGACAGTTTGTTAGTAACTTCATACTATAGTAATTGACTTCTCACTTTGCTGTATTTTCATTCGTCGATTGTCATTGCTCTTTTTTCACGGCTCCTTGTTCTTGTTCGCTGTTAAACCGACGACCAGGCGTTTTCTTCTCTTGCAAAGCCAGTGGTCTAATCACCTTGAATGTAAGTCCACTTTAAAATTTTCAATCCGGCCTTGTTAACTTGATGCGGTTCTATTAGTGTTACAGCTTAGGACTATAGAATTTTAAAGAATATCCGAACTCTGATGGCTAGAGCGTTGGCTACCCTAAAGTCT